AAGTGCAGCAAGGCCTATCTTGATGTTGGCAATAACTCATTGCACCTTCAAACTCTGTTTTAGGTGGCAAGGTGAGATTCTCGCTCTGCAGCAGTGAATTGCCTATTAAGAGGGATTATTGTTTATTAGCTGCATATTTCACCTCAATAAAGTGCAGCTTTCTGTGATACTGCATACCACGAGAAAACAAGATACAGAGAATGTTAGATGTGGAAATTCTGGTCAGAGCAGGTAGCTGAGGATTTCAACTTGCCGCTTTCTCAGAAGGATCTCCATGTTGAACACCAACCCTGTTCTCCCTGAATATGGCCACATGCCCCAATTGTCCAAAGTCATAGGCATCCAATATATGCCAGCTTCTAAAAACCTTCAATGCACATCTCTGAACGATACGCAGAATGCTTTTGCGCCTCAGGATGCAATAACAACTATCATTATAATGCTGCAGCAAGGATATTTGTGTGCTCATAGACTGGACCAAGCTGCATACTCAGTCTATTTGCTTGCTCTCATAGTGCTCACTCACTATGAATGTGCCTGGATGCTCACAACATCCCTGCCTTGCCTGGAGATTTTACATCTTGCCCCTCAATACTGCTGTGTTGGCATGCTGCATGTGCAGAAACAAAGCAAGGAAGCTAGTCATTGTTGTCAACAGTCCTCAGTCAAGTCAAGGTAGATATCCTTCAGACAGAGTGTCCCAGTGCAGTTAGTCAAGGACATTCTCCAATATCAGGCCAAAGGTTTGGATGCTGTCACTCATCTGCATGGGGCAGTTAGAGTCAGAATCTCCTCCTCATAATGGGTGAAGGACCAAATGTCAGGCAAGCCACCATCCATCTTGACTCTTTCTGCCCTATTGTGCACCATTTTTCTACTGGAATGAGAGAGAGGCTGATATTGAGGGAAATAGAACAGCACTGTTGGTACTGGTGGAGTGAATAGACAGCATTCAGGGTTAGTGGTGTTGGGGTTAGGGTGAAGGAGAGCCAGTGAGGAAGATGTTGCAGGCAATAGTGAGAGTGGTAGAAAATGAGCTTTGATGGGTGGTGGATGCAGTAGCTGAGATACAGTGAGTGTGAGTTATTGGAAATAAGATGGTGGCACTTATATTTATGGAATGGAGAATATCAGTGAAGTTCTTCCTATAGAGCTATGCATTTCTCCAGATGGCTCAGACTGCACTGACGCTAGTGGCAACTGAAGGGGTCTGGCGTTGTGGCCTCCACTGCTGGTGTTGGGGTAGGGGGGCATCCCACTTCTGGAGCACTCTGTCTACTAGGATCACAAAGCAGGGTGCCAGTTTTCTCTTTCGTGCCATGTCCGAGGCAAATGCCAGCAACTATGTAGGGCAACTCTAGACTGACAGTGATTTTTAAAGATGACATCAGCACCAGGAATGCAGTTCATTTCAGAATCCCTGTTCTGGGAACGAATGGGGCTAGAATTAGAAAAGAGATGAGTTATAGGGGTACATAGTTGATGGAGTGAATTTGATAAGCTGTAGCAAGAAAACTTGCTATGCCTTGTGGAGAGAAACCCGTCATGAAACTTGAAGAAACTGACATTTAGCCAAAAAAAGATTCTGCTCTACTTCTACTTGGCTAAGTGTGAGTTTTATCAAGATTCATGGACAATTTCTGTCCTTGGGACTGAGCAACTTTACTTGCTGCATGTTCCAAAATTTGTCTCATCAACTACCTACACTGCCCCAGTGGTGTCGTTCTTGTCCAATTCTAGCTCCATTCTTCCACTCACCACAGCCAAAACAACTCTCCACTGCTGGGATACCTGGAATGGTTTGGCACCTCTGGTGCTGATGCCATCTTTAAAAGGTTGTTGTGCGCCAACACTGAACACTGAGACTTTGGATCTTCCTTGTATAGTTCTTGACATTTGTCCAGGACATGGTAGCGTTAGGAAAGTTGTTGCCCCTGTTTTGTAGGCAGGGACCTAGAGGTCCAGCTGGTTGGGGTGGTGCAGATTTGGACATCCTCTTTCCTGAGGAGCAGCAGTGTAGGACATGACACCAGACCATTGTCAGCCTGGTCTGGGTTTGCCACCCCATTCAGTGCAGTGTCAGCCATATGGAGGAATGCACAGCAATGTCGAAATAAGGCCACTAACCTTCTTCACTCCGCCATTGTAAGTGACACCATCTTCTCTCCAATACATCACACTCACTCTTGCCTTGCTACAGTACCCACCTCCCACCAAGGCTATGTTCTACCATTCTCAATCTTACTTGCAACAATTTCCCTCCATCACTGTTATCCACCCTAAACCCCGATACCACTAATCCTGCATGACCTCTGCACTACCTACTCACTCCCTTGGGATATCTCCCCACCTGCACCAAAGTAACAGCTGTGCCACCAACTTTCATCTCTCTTAACAACTTCCTCTCTCGCATTCCAGGAGGAAATCAGCCCACAATAGGGCAGAAAGAGTCAAGACAGGTAGTGGGCTGCTCTACATTCGGCTCCTCAACCCTAATGAGGAGAATTCACAGCATCTAGTTTGCTCGTGGCAAATGATATGATAGAACACTGCATAATAATGAGGTGAGAGCTGCAGTTAATTTTGTTAACAAGCAATAATCACCCTTATTAGGCAACTAGTATTAAGTAGTGAGAATATTGTCTCAATGACCAGAATTTAGTTAAAAGATGCAGCAAGTTATTCTTGATGTTGAGCTGGACTTCTCAAGCAATTTTGTGCCATTTCTTGCCATGGCCACATTGCTGAGGCCCCATAACATTTTGCCCCATATCTGCTTTTCTATTGAAATACAAAGAGAATATCCTATTTCCACTCGTCTAGATAGCTGAGAACTTGTGACATAATGTCACTGTCATACAAAAAAATGAAGAACACGGATGTTAAGGGAAGATATTTTATCCGAGTAAATGCATAATTCAATTATTTTTCCTAGGTGTAATGACTTACATAAACTTACTCACAATGCTATTCCCACTAAATATTAAAGCAGGAGAACAAATGATCAGGTTTTAGCCACCAATTTTGGCTATGTCGCTTAGTCCTTGACTCCCCAACCACAGAAATAGTTTGTGTCAATCTACTCGGCTAACTCCCTTTAATATCTTGAAAACATTGATGATCCCCCAGCTTAGCCTTTTAAATTCCAGGGAATTCAACCATAGTCAGTGTGACCTCTCCTTTAAATTCGACCTGAAATCTAGGTATCATTCCAGTTAAGTTTACATTACACTCCCTCTAAAGTCAGTGGATCTTTCCTAGGGTGTGATGGCCAACCTGAACACAGTACTCCTGGTATGGTATAACAAGGGCCTTGTTTAAACAAAGGATAACTTTGATTATTTTACATTATGATTCTCTAGCTATAAAGCCCATAGTTTCAAGAGCCTTTTCGATTATTTTCAATCTCTGTCCATAATATTTTAATTTATGTACATGGACCCCAAAGTTTATGTGGACCTCTGCTATTTCGGCTTTTCAACATTTAGAAAATTTTCTGTCCTGACATTTATAGGTTCAAAGTGGATGACCTTAAATTTGCTTACAGTAAAATCCATTTATGACAGTTTTTCTCACTCACCTAACCTATTACTATCTATTTGTATGTTAGTGATTCCATTTAGACTACGTACAACGCAACTTATCTTTGTATCATTGGCAAACTTTTTATCCCATCATCTCAGTCATTAACCAACATGATAAATTGTTGAGGCCTCAACATAGACCCTTGTGCAACCCCAGTATTCATATCCAAACAACTGGGGTTCTTTCCCATTATACCTAATGTCAGTCTCCTGCCACTCAACATTCTTCCTGGCTATGTCAAAACTTTGTCTTCACTCCATACGTGTTAACCTTAACTAACTATCCTTCACGATATATTTATTGAGTGTTTCTGGAAGTCCATTTAAATGATATCCATGGACATTTTCTTGACAACTACTTAAGGCACTTTCCAAAAACCTTCAGACAGGTTCATCAGTATGATCCAAACCTTTACCAATCCATGCTGACTCTTTCTGATCAGCTGAATATTTTTGAGTCTCTGTGTTCTGTGTTCAGTCCCTCTATCCTGAATAAAAGATTCAAGTAGCAAAGTAATTTTATCCTTGAAATCACAGGCCAATACATTTCAGCCAACAATGAATATGATAAAAAAAAACTAAAGATAATTTCAACTATAATAATTTGAGAACATATTCAAGAAACAATGGTTCCTAGGTCAGTAAACAGCATTAAAAAACCTTTTCGCCATGTTTGTCTCCAATTTAAAAGTTTCAAACATATATTAGTTATTGTTTTTATTCTTTCAGAATGAGTAATTATTTATACATCTTCATGTATAATGATTAATTTCAATACTTCATGTATCTTATGGAACTTAATATAGACACAAATATGATTTATTATCTTCCTTTCTCTGGCAATCTGATATATGTTGTATAAGCTAATGGTTCTGAGCCAATCGACGCAATGGTCCACCCATTCTACTGATGTCACATACAAGCTGTGGGTGGAGACAAGAAGTTTGACTCTTGCTTTCAGAAGGAACAAATGTATCTGTACCAGCTCGCTAAGGAGTATCCCTGACCAAATGTAGTTGTCATTATTGATATCATGCAATAAATTTTCTCATTATCTAAGATTACCCACTTCTGCAGATACTTGAAAGTGATGAAAATTCTACCAATAATTATGAGGTAGGCCCAAATTCAAAAGAGCGCTGGTGCCAACAAACGCTCACAAACAGCCCTTACCCAGTACCAAATAGTGGTTCAACTGGCAAGTACCACAAGGTATCAGGAGTGATTGTCTGGGAAAATACCTCAATTACATTGCTGAGGTCTCTCTGAAGAGAGAAATTGTAATTGCATATTGTTATGCAAAGTAGTTTGTAGTACAAAGGAATATTGATTTTTAATAACTGGAAATGAAAGAAGATACCTAGACATATAATACCATATACCTAACCAAACTTGTGTTCATGATATTACTTATAGGCTTGCAAAGTTGCTGTCTCAGTTAGAAAGCAACACAGGACCTGGCATGCCACAAATTGATCCTGCTTACCGCCCATGGGTTACTGAGAAAGAAGAAGCACATTTGACCAAAATTCTAGATATGGTTGACAATACTTCAGAAGAAATGTATGACGAAGAACAAGAAACAGAAGAAGAAGAAGAAGAAGCAGAAGAAGAAGAAGCAGAAGAAGAAAAAAAAGAACACCTCATGTCCAAAACTGTAGATAAGGTTGAAGATGCCACGGAAGAGGTCTATATCAGCTATGAAAATGGAAACGATCTGGTTTCTGTAAAAAGCGAGGCAAGTTTGCTAATGACATCTTTATGCCTGCCTATGTTGCTAAGCCATTGAACTAGATCTGTCTTCTCATTTATTTGTAATCCTACACTTAGAGCATAATAAGGGACTGAAAGCCACAAAAAAGATACTTTCAGCAATTTTCATAAAACCCAACTTATTAGGAAATGGGTTCAACTTAAAACAGATGTATATTTAATATGTTCAAAGTAATAAGTGTTGATCAAATATGCATTTATGGGGAGGCGATAGCATAGTGATAATGTCACTGGACTAGTAATCCAAAACACCAGACTAATGTATTAGGAACAAGCATTTGAATTCCACCATGACACATGGTGAAATTTGAATTCAAGGGGTAAAAGCTAAAATAAAAGTGAAATACCACAGATGATGAAAATCTGAACAGCACAGACTTGTTTTTCCTTTTCACAGCTAACATTTACCCCTATTTTACATACACATCACTTCTTTACCAACATTATTACTGCTTTTGTCTTTTGCTCTGGGCATACTCAACATCTATTTTATTTGTCCCTCCTCACCCTCTTTCAGCAGCATAAAACCGATCATTTTCTAAATCCTTTCAGTTCTGAAGAAGAGTCCTACTGGACTCATTATATTAGTTGTTTCGCTCACCACAGATGTTGACGGGCCTGTTGAGTTTCTCCAGCATTTTCTGTTTTTATTTTAAAGAAAGCTAATCTAATGACAACCATATAACCACTGTCAATTGCCATTAAGTCCCTTCTGTCTCAATAAGGTTCTAATTTCCTGATTAATGTCTGTTCGGGAAGGAAATCTTCCATCCTTACCCAGGCTGGCCTACACATGACTCCAGGTCCACAGCAATGTGGTTGACTCTTAACTGCCCTCTGGAAAATTAGAGATGGGCAATAAATGCTGACCTAACCAGTGAAGAAAATATAGAAAGATGATATTGAAACAGGTATATGGTATAAAAATAAGTACACCACGGCTGTAACTATAAGAAAACAGGAATTGTCATCCACCAGTTGTAAAAGATTGACTCAGGCAGAGGTTCTGTGGGCAGGACACAAGGTGGAATCTTTCACTGTCACCTGTGGCAGGTTTGATAGTGTGGAGCATTTTCTAAGGCTGGAGCATGGTGGGTGAGGACCATACTACCTTCTAACCTCCAACCTAATTAACTCCAGTTAATGCCCATTGCAGACCTCATTCTGCCAGGCATGGTTCAGCCATACTGGGAGCATGACAGGCAAACTTGCCAAGCTTGTTTGAAGCCTCCGTGGTGGCGGTGATGGTGAACACAAATTGATTCAAAGGCATTCAGTGCTTGATCGAGGGATTTCATAGCAGGAAAGGGTTAGTCCGCAGCCCCCTTTGGCCTTTCTACCAAACGCTGTCACCTCATTCCCTGTGACATTCCTTTTCAGCCATGCCTGAGTTCCTTCTCGATCTGAGGCCTCGGATGAGGTGGGGAACTGTAAGCATCCATCGTGGTGGCAATGCTAAGAACAGCAGTGATTCCATCCTCTGACTGGCTGGCAGTTCTCGAAGGTGAGGCTTCTGACCATGCCTCCCTACCACTAATCACCCCCCTTCCTGGGACCTTGATCCCAGGGGAAGGCTTACCATTGACCAGCTAAGCACCTAGTGGCACAAAATGTGGCAGGCCTTTTGAAAAAAGGCGATATGGCGAGGATCTTTCCGGCTGTCCAGCCAATGTCTACTTAAACTACACCAAGGCTTTTGATAATGTCCCACATAGGAGACCGATAGCGAAGGTTAGAGCCCATGGGATCCAAGGAAGTTTGGCTAATTGGATACATAATTGGCTGAGTGTCTAGAAGCAGAGGGTGCCAGTTTAGGTGTTATTTTGTGCCTGTGACTGTCCAGTGGGATTCCACAGGGATCAGTTTGGGGCCCTTGCTGTCCAAGGGCTGTCCACTGCTGATCCTGGGAAGGATCGAGGATCAGAGGAGCTTTGATGTGCATGTCCACAGGTCCCTTAAAGGGACAGTTAGATAAAATGGTTAAGAAGCCATATGGAATACTTGTCTTAATGGCCGAGGCATGGAGTTGAAGAGCAGGGAGGTGATACTGGAACTGTATAAAATGTTGGCCACAGCTACGGTATTGTGTGCAATTCTTGAATCCACATTATAGGAGGGGTGTGATTGCACTGGAGAGGGTGCATTGGAGAGTTAGTAGGATGCTGCCTGTGCTAGAGACTTTTAATTACGAAAAGAGATTAGAGAGACTGGGAGCAGAGGAGACTGAAGGGGGATGTGATTGAGATGAATAAAATTATGAGGGCCATATTCAGGGTAGATGGGAAGAGGGGTAAGTGACTGGGGCACAGATTTAAAGTAAGGGTCAGGATGTTTAGAAGAAATATGTGGAAAATTCTTTTCATCCAGAGGGTGGTGGGCATCTGGAACTCACTGCCTGTAAGGATAGTGGAAAGAAACCCTTATAACATTTAAGAAGTATTTAGACCTGCACTTGTGATGCCAAAACATATAAGACAATGGGCCAAATGTAGGAAAATTGGATTAGAATAGTTAGGTTTTTTTTAACCAGCACAGACTTGATAAGCTGAAGGGCCTTTTTCTGTGCTGTTGACCTAAAGGAACACAAAAACAGAAATAAGTCTTTCAGCCCTTTGAGCCTGTTGTACCATTTGATGAGGTTGTGTTTGATTTGTGGCTTAACTCCATATTTGGTCCATATTCCTTATTAACTTGCTTAACACAAATGTATCTAACGCAGATTTAAAATTGAAAACTGATCCAGCATTCATTGCCTTTAGTGCAAGAGAGTACCAAACATCTATCATCCTTTGTCTATAGAAGTGCTTCCTAACATCTCTTCTGAAAAGTCACACTTGCATACATTGAACTCCATGTGCCACAGTTTTGACCATTCACTTAGTTTATCAATATCCCTTTGGAATTTTATTTACACTGTCCACAATGCCACCTAACTTCAGCAAATTTGGATACATAACTTTCCATGCCATTAACCAGTTCGTTAATAAATAATGTGAATAATTGAAGCTCTAGCATACATCCTTGTGGGAACAGCGCTGGTCACATCCTGCCAATTTGAGTCCCTAACCATTATGCCTACTTTCTGCTTCTTGCCACTCAACCAATTTCCCAACCATGTCAATTAATTTGCCCTCTATTCTGTGGGCTTCTACCTTAGTTACCAACCTCTTATGTGAGACTTTATCGAATACTTTCTGGAAGTCCCTATAAACATAGATGTTCAAATAAAACAAAGAACAGTGGATGCTGAATATCTGAAGCTAAAGCAGAAACACTGTTCTGAAGAAGGTTCACTGGACCCAAAAAGTTAACTGTTTTTTTCTCCACAGTTGCTGCCAGCCCTGCTGAGTTTCTCCAGCAATTTCTGTTTTTGACCTATGCATTCACCTGTCCATGACCTTAGTCACCTATTCAAAAAATTCATTGAGGTTTGTCAGGCATGACATACTTATTGTGAAGCTACACTGGCTCTCCATGACTCCAACACTTTCCCCACTGCAGATGTTAGGCTAACTGATCTGCAATTCCCTAGTTTTCCTTTTTCGCCTTTCTTAAAAAGCAGAGTGTCATGTACAATTTTCCAATCCAGAGGGACAACTCCTCTATCTAGGGAACTGTGAAAGATTATGGGTAGGGTTTCTATAATGTGCTCTCCTACGTCCTTCAATGCTCTTAGATGGAAACCATCAGATCGTGGGGCTTTGTTACTGTTTAGTTCCATTAATTTCCTCATCATCGATGTTTTACTAAGGTTAATTTTATTTTGTCGCTGTTCCCAAATCACTATTAATTTTCTTGGGACTTCTGGTAAGCTATCTTCTTTTTCCACTGTAAATACCAAGGCAAAGTGCTTATTCAACATGCCTACTATTTACCGTAGTCCAATTAACAATGTCCCCACTTTCAGTCTTTAGTAGGCTAACATTGCTTTTGACCACCCACCTTCCCATTATGTATGTATAAAATTTCTTCTTATTGATTTTAATGTCCCTGGCAAGTTTCCTTTCATAATCCCTTTTAAACGTCATTGTGCCCTTTGGTGTCTTTGTGTCTTTCCCATTCTGTGCTTTTTTTACATTTTTGTAAGCCCTTTCTTTTAGTTTTGTGCTGTCCCTTATCCCTTTAGTTTGTCCATGAATGTTTTTTTCTGTGAAATGGAGCTTTTCCCTCTCAGGGATATAAACAGGGTATCACACCTCTATGGTCTGTGCCTAGACCTCCATTACGTGCACAAGATTCTGCCAAAGGACTTTCATTAGACTAAGGAAGTCGCTTGACTCGTGTCAATGCATTATGGGTGACAAATGTACTGGGGATCAAAATGTTTTGTTGAAAAGCTTCGAGAATGAGGCATAGAGGAAAAATGTACATTTGAACCATTGCTAACCCCAGGATCTCAAATCGTAATTCATGGTCAATATGGTGCTTCTTATTTTAATCTTGCTGCAATAAAATAAGTGCAACAGCCATTTTGTGTGGAGTAACATCTCACCAACAAAAATGAGGTAAATGACTAGATGATGTTAGTGGCTTGTTTAAGGGATTAATGTCAACAAAAACATCGGAAATGTATCCATAATCTTTCTTAAAATATTCATGGGGTATTTTACAGCCGTCTGAGAGGGGAGCTGGAACTTTGGTTTAACCTTTCAAGCTTTCAAAAGATAGGGTCACCAACAATAAAATATTCTATTATTTTTGCAATGCAGTTAGGTAACAATGTTACTTTACAAAGTAAGGTGTCTGTGCGATAGGCCCTATGACATACGACAAGTGACTTAGCCATATACTGGCTGGTTGAATTGTATTAAGTGCTATGAGCCTTTAGGCTCTTCTGTGGAAAGTCCTCACCATTCCAGGATCAGACTGGAGACCAAAGGTAATCCCCAGGTTATTTTCATTCCCTTGGTAACGTCTTCCTAAATGCTTTCCCCCTGTGGCCTCCACCCTCACCTTCAATAATATGGAC